GGTAACGAAGCAGTCATTAACAAGGACACTCCCTCTGAAGACACTTCCTGCCCATTTTGCTCGTATCGAAGCGGAGCGTACTTTGTTGGGTTAGAAGTTATGCGATGCGCAATGGTGTGACTGTGTTTTCCTAACTGCATGAAGAGGGGGAAGCATAAAACCTGCTGTGCAGTCTCACATCTAGACAATGCGTTATGCCGACACTCTTACAGCCAGAGCCACGTTGCGAAATCCTCTATATGAAGGCTACTTCGCCGTAATTCCATCGGCCCAGCGGCCAACAAATGGTTAGTCACAGATGCGTTCGCTATTCATGGCGCACAGCAACAACTCAATCGTTCATTCCTCAGCCGACTGGCAACATAAGTGGCAGTTGAAAATATTATTGCGCAGAAGGACATGTGTACAGTTAAGCGCTAAAAGAAAGGGTGGGGGTGCAGGTGTCTGCACTTCTCCCTCCTTTCTTTTGGTGTCCAAAAACACCTCTAGAAGCTAGCAGCGTGATCCCTCGGTGCAATGGCGGCCACCTTGCACTCCGCTCTCCCCTTTTTCCTCTCGTTTTTTTCTTCGTGGTGCTACCCGTGAAACCAAAAAAAGGAAACCCAAATTTGGAAAAATGAAATAAAAGCTGTCGTTAAAAATTTGCGTGCTTTATCTACAGTGATAAACGTGAACCGAAACTATCAAGACAGAAAGTGCAGCCTGGCTTTCTTACAACCTGTTATTGAACGCTGTTAAACACACAGACATGTTCTGAAACAGCCACTAGCAAGCGTTCGTCTTTGACTTGCGCTGCGAGGTTTGCATTTTGTTTCTGCTAAGTGTAGGGCTTGAACACGCGTAAAGGCGAATTGCAAGGTATATAATTAATGTATGTGATGGAAACTCTCACGTCGGTCACTGCTGTTATATGTGGAGCTGGTTGTTGAAGGAAGTACGAGGTTCACTTCTATGCACAACTGCAGTGTGTAACAAAGAACACAGGTGCAAGCAAATTCACAGCACATTTTCAAGGTTCTTTGTTATAATTGAAGCTCAGTTGTGTGAACTTCCACGTGATCTCTGAAAAACATTCAAAGTTATGACATTTATGCACATAATTATTCAAAAAGTGTCAAACAGTAATGCAAATTCTCCAAAAATTTTCTTCCTTCATTTATGTGCGTGTAACTCAACAGCAACAATTAGAGCGACAAATGCAAGTTGTAAATTACGGACGGGATCCCTTTGCATACAATAAGTTTGAGCTCATGCTGATCTGGGCCATATTTACTGCTGCTGGCGTGGTTATACAGCGCATTTCATTTGTGTTCTTCATCCGTTCACATGTCGCTAGCACCAATTGCATTTAGTCGTAAGAAATAAAATGTAATTTACCAGAGCTTCATTTGTATTCATTTTGCTTCCACCTCAGATGACTATGTTTAAGTCATTTACGATTGTCTAAAAATATTCCCATTATTACTCTATTTGATGGAAAAACCTTCACCGGTAGTGATGATTTGTTTAAACCTTCAAGAAAGTAAATATTGAATGTTAATCGGTCACGACATTATTCAACCGTCGTTAATAGTATGAACGTGATTTTAACCATTCCATCAGGTTGAATATCTTTCAAATGAAATTTTATTCATATGAGATGATTCAACAAAAGCTCAAATTCAACCCTTCAACTCATGCTAATATCAAGTGCAAAGTCCTCATCCAAACATGAAACATAAGCTATGAGGAATTTTCGATAGATAATTATTTATTTGCTAGAGTTAATGCCCGTGTATTAACAGTCGACCTGTCTCAGGTATACAAGACAGAACAGAGCCTAACAAAAACTCAAGATAGTGGCTGCCATGAAACTTATTCAAGATTGCTTTAGACATTGAATGCGGAAGTGGTTTGGAAAATATTTCAGGTTGCTTATATTGTGTTACACTGGCGCCTGCTCGAGCGCATTCAATGCAACAAACCAGTCTGCACAGACTTGCGGCGGTGTCTGCGTGCCTCGTCGGCCATGTCATTTCTACCTTTTAAGGTGTGCCAAGGTTGCCCTTGCTAATTTCAGCTCTTCAATGCTGTGCGAAAAATGGCAAATTAGAAGATCCCAGTTTTCTTGCATTTTAGTTTCAATTCAGATGATCGGCACAACCCCCGGTTAATGTAATGACACTTATGTCTGCAGGAGGCGCCAAGTAAAATAATGAAACAAAGGTGTTGCTGTTTTGTTTGGTTGATGTCGATAATGTCCACATTTCTTTTTTCAAGTCTTATTAGACGTTTTCGCTAAACACATAACCGTAGAACAGGTGTTCTTTGTGTGCGTTTGCATTATCGTGTGTAACGTTTTAGTGCCCTTAAATTCTGTTGCAGTTCTTAGGCGTCAGCGCTTTTGAAAAATTTACGAATCCCCAGATGCACTAAGTTAACACGACTGAGAGGCATACTGATTCTTCGCATTCGATGTACTGATCCTGTCCCGCCACTATCCGAAAGCTTACTGCACTTAACGCGGTTGTCCATTGCATCTTGGGATAGATGCGTGGCAAGCTTTCTCCACCTCAGCTGTTTGTGCACGACCTCCGTGATCGGCACACCTCTGACCGAGCTGCGAAGTAGTGTGAGGACGTCATGACGTGACGTAACGTCACATGACATAACGTGACGTAACGGCGCGAAATGACTCCATGAGTCGTGGTGGCCAGTGACGTTAGTAAGACGCCACGTGCCGATGTCATTGCGTGTAGATTTTTTTGCCTCATTCGTGTTTATGTCACTGACGGTCGACGCGGACGCGAGAAGCCGGTCAACTTTCGCGTTTTATGCGGCATCTAAGGATTTAATCTTGATATACATGCGCGTTCGATGCGCTTCACTTTAGAACTCAGTTCCCAAATGAGTGTACTGGTATAGAATACTTTTGTATTACAATCTGATCCTGTTGTCTTTTTTTGGTCAATCTTCAGAAAGCAATCTGAACAGCGGTTGCTAACGCGTTTAGAGGGGCATGCACGATTCATATCCTAAAGGGCCACTCACCAGGCTCCCAAAATACGAAAAGAGCGCAATATTCTTGCCTGATAATCTCGTCTTTCTTGGCGCACTACTGTGGCATAGACAGTAGTTTCCGTGACGCCTACAGCGTACGTGCTCTCGATTCGCTGATATACGTGCAAGATCACATGAGATTTGTTTTCTGCACTGCTTTGCCATGCAGCCGCCCATCCGATCTGGTTTGTCTCGCATGAATATCGTGCACAATAAACCGATCAAACTTCATTTTTTGTGTTTACCACTGCGCATGCAGTGATAACAGCATGCAGCCGAGAAGCGCGAAATCTTGATAGGCTCCAGCGCTTAGTGCTGATATTGTTCACGTGCATTGAAGAACTAAGGGGCGAGGAGCATGCATCGTGTGTATGAAGAAAATATCACCCCCTCGTCTTTAAACACAAGGTGGTGAGTGGCCCTTTAAGCTATGGCTTGTCATATATACTTTCAGCAAATCTTTCTATACATTCGGAATATTTGTTTGTCTTGAAAGAGAATATTACTTCCGGCTCGTCACAAGAAATATTCATTTGATTGGTACTAAACACACCGCCTGCCATACTGCATGCCTCAAATCTATGTGGCACGTGATTGCTTTGTCGGTTTTCAATTCTGAAGGGAATTTCAACGCCGATTGCACAGCTTGTGAACAAAAGTGTGACTTGACAATTATCAGCTACGTTAAACAATTGTACTGAAATTCAAGCAGTAGTTATGGGCATATTTCATGCAATGTATATACGCAGCTCATGTGAAACTGTTGGCGCATCTGTTCACACGCCGCTCCTTTGTTTTTATGGCAGCTGAATCCTTTTCACAAGATACCTACCTTTTCTGACGACGGCTTTATTATATATGAAAGGTGAGTTTTGTGTATATTATATTGAATTTATACAATCTCGCCGATAACTACTGAAATATGCAAACATGCCTCACTAACAGAAAGAATATTCATGCTTTAGTCAATCATTTCTTAGTTTAAGAAAGCGCGGAAGGAACGCATGGAAGATTTGGTAGCATCTAGCCTGAAACACGTGCTCCAGAAGGCCGTTCGATACTGGTGTCTTGTTTTAATCTCGTATTCAATCGTATGCTTTTCCTCAACCCATTTCTTTAGGCATTTAGTAATCAATCAATATCAGTTCGGTGGCAACATTTGTTCTCTGTAAAATATAAAAGTCTTACAGGAAGTGGACAATTGATTGCTTTAAATGTTTGCAAATAAACAGTAACGTCATGAACATTATCAACTGAATTTTTTTTAGTTAACTTGGTCTTTACGTAGGATTGAGACGGGTGAGTGACCAGTCACGTTCCGCAGGATCAAATAGTCATTTTCCTTCCTTCCTTAACTTTCAGCGAGGGGTATTCTTCCACTCCTCCATAAATGCAAGCGCGTATGAGTGTTGCCACTCTGTCATAATGCTACTTTTACGAGTGTGGGTATATGGCGCGCATGACATTTATTTATGATGTAGAGGGCCAGATAAACTGATATGTTAGAACAAGGCTAACCTTTCAGGTGTTCATGGCCATTGCCGTGTACTGGTGCGCACGTGTATATTACCCACAACAATTTAAACGTGTAATTTAAAAGCTGTTATTAAGTATTTAGTAGCATGTATAAGTCAGCCTCGACAAAAATACGAAAAAAATTCATTCAGAAACATGTTTCGATTGAGAGGCACATTCGTGTAGCGGCGCATAAGAGGCGCCCATTTCTGACTTTTTAATTTCCTAAAAAAAGCAGCATGTTCCTTTGAACGTTTCAGCGGGTGACTTCCAATGAGTCTCACTGCTTGGCGTTCTGTAAAGGGAGCCTAAATGTACAGTCGGGTCCACTGTTAAATGGAACACCTTCATGAGCAGCATGTTTAGATTTCGCCATCTTACGAAATCATAGCGGCTTAGATTTGCATAAGACTACTGGTGGTTAAAAGTTCCGACTTCTTTGGACGGACTATCGACTTCCACGAAGAATGTTTTTTAATCCACTTGCTCCCAGAGGGCCATGAATGTTGATGGTGTGCATTCGAGCGTTTCCTTTAACAGTGGGCCATACTGTACACGCACGTAAAGCGTTTCCTATTGAACCCTTGAAAAGTTTTTCTGTATTTTTTTTCTGAATAACACACGTATTTTTGCCCCACAGTTCGGCTATATGCTACTACCTGCTCAGAAAGCACGCCCCAAGTTCCGACCTCTACCCAGACTGTCCCAGGACTCGCGCTCGTGTCGACCAGGCTCTAGCCACGATTACCAGCACCATACAGCCTCACTACTTCAAGTTCTTTGTAAGTATTTGAGTACGTTGAGTACGTGTCACTGTCCTGCTCTCGGATTCCAGACGTCATTTTGTTGAGTTTTTTTTCTTCCCCATCTTGCTCCTAATTTCCTTTCTTCTAGCCAATAAAATTTACTCTCCATCTTTTTATTCTGAGCAACTGAAGCAGGAACTCATTTCTTGTGTACATCATGCGAAATATTTAATTCTTCAAAAAATCTCACAAGAAACCTCCGCCATATGCACACATCGGGGTTTGATTTTCTCAAAAAGCTGCGTGTCCTTTATGTACGAAAGCAAGTTAGTCAACTTAGGCTTGGCAATACTGCGCGTTTGAATATCTTTTAACTGGTATGTCTTTGTTGGCCACAGTCAGCCACGTCCACCGCAAAGCCACATAGGAATATGGGCATCAGCCTAAAAAAAAGGCACTTGAGTGTGCTTTGGTTTTTCTGTACTGTATACTGCATCTTTCTAATCGTAATAACTGTCTTCCGTTACATATAGTCATCTTTCGTAAGAAACAAAAGGCCGAGGTCGCAAGAGGTGGTTGTGTTCCAGTGCATTTTGCTCTTACCTGTTTATTCCTTGACCACAGTGTGTCCGGGGGCTGTTCTTTGTTTTCGTGCTTGCTAGTATATTGGCGCTATTAATCGGGACTATGTCTTGGGAACCGAGACATATCACAATACAGGCAAATAAAGAGAAATTTTCTGGAGAGGAGCAGGGTACTTCCCGAAGGCTTTCCATCCCCTATGAAAATTTCGGAGCTTGTGGTCCAGCCCCCTTCCCTGTCATCATTTGGCTGTGGGCATGGCACAAAGTGCAGTCTGTGTAACGACAGGTTGCTGGTCGGCCAACAGCGGCGTCTGAATGTCACTGTTGAAAAATAATCTGCTCTTTCAGAGACCCCGCTTCTACGAGTTGACGAAGCCTACACCAGAGGATGTGGAGCAGTTTGAGGAGAACGTGATCAAGGGATTCGAGCACGTGTTGAGAGAAGGAAACTACGTCCTGGGTGACAAGCTCAGCCTTGCTGACCTCAGCTTGGTGGCTCACCTTACACTTGTCTTCGAGGTAAGCAGTGAGCTTAAAACTGTCTGGAGCTGTGTATCATTGACCTGCCTAGCCAGGTAGCCTCAATAAAATTACGCGTACTTTGAGTCTAATGGCATGCTTCATTTCTGTTTATAAACAAAAAAGGGCAAAGCAGAATAGCACAATCATGTATTGTAAATGAATGTAACTTGTTTATATCATGTGGATTTTCATTTCTGGTTTGATCCGGGCACGCCGTTTTACTGAGCTAACGTAATAGAAAGATAAACTCTTGAGACCTCGACTCTACTTGTTTTACTGGGCATTGTTTTTAGGTAACTATTTATTTATTTAATTATTTATTTATTTATCTATTTATTCATTACAGTACTGCCGGTCTGATCTTCAAACCTTAGGCAGGAGTGGGTACAATGAGTACAAAAAAAGGGTGGGTACAATGAGTACAATAAACACATATGAGTACAATGAGTACAAAAAAAAGAGTGGGTACAATGAGTACAATAAACACATATGAAACATTGTGGCGATATTAACAGCAAAAGAAGAAGAGTACAACGAGTTCATACAAGCACAGCAGCAAATGGGCAGATCAGTGAGCGAGGTATTTGCAGGCGCCTAAACAGCATAGGTTGACTAAAAAGGAGGATTGAAAGAGGAAGGACAAGAAGGTTAGCCAGTTCTCAGAACGGGTTTGACTAAACAGCAAGGTATATGTGAACTGGTAGGGAATCTCCCACAGCAGCCCATGTGTGAAGTAGTAGGAGGATTGCCGTTACCGTCACCGTATACGTATGGTGGATAAACCAACCGTAAGAGAGAATTGAAACATAAATTGTAAGGGCACATCTGGGAGTACTAGGAGCCATAGGAATTCCAAATAATATGCACTATAGAGCAAACTCGATTTAGTACCTATGGGAGCTGCATCGCATGGAGCTTCAGCGAGCACGGGAATTGTGATTAGTACACAGGTGTGCCTTGTCCTCGTACTTTACGTTCCTGTTGGCTTCGCGCGGCTTGAAGCTGCTTTGTCACGAAACAACATTTGTTAATTACGTAGAAGTCATGCTTCACCGCCTTGACATTTTAGGACCAATATTTCAAATCCGGTCATGAAGCTCAAATTTGTTCATTATTTTCTCCAAAACAAAACCAAAACCAGCAATAAATGAAGCCACAAATGTGACGGGCCGTCCGCAAGTACGAAGACTAGACAAATTCGAGTGCTACCCATCATTTCCATAGTCGCTGAATGATTTCAGCACCAGAGTTCCTTGTAGTTAATTTAAGGAAACTCTATGGTAGCGACGTCATGCGTTTACACTACATGGCACACGGAATGTCATAATTTTGAAATGTCTTGCTCATACCACCTGATCATGATTGTAGATTTTTTATGCGAAAGTCTTTATGCAGGGATTCTGCAACCACTTAGTGACGCATTTCCGTCTCAGGATGTGACGTGGTAAAGTTAATGCTGTCACATCGGAAAGAAAAATGCATTCAAGAAAAATTTACAGCATATCACTGGCGTGAGTGATAAGGGGGACGAAGCTTCCGTCCGTCTGTTTGTTCATCTGTCCGCTTCTATCACACTAGAGCATACATCCAATGGAGACTTCGTTACACTCATCACCAACCACTCCGTGGATATGCTGTGAATTTATTGTACCAATGCCATCTGTCCTCTCTAATCGTCAACTATACAAAAACCCCTAACGTCATCTGGTGATATTATTTCCATGGACACATTCACACAATGCCATCTAGTGAGCCATTCATAAACTAGAGGGGCTACGCACATACTACATACAAACGGAGGAGGACCCACCCACATCCTAAGCAGTTTCGTCCCTAAAGTTTTCTCCGCTGGGCGTCGATTATCTCGCATGAGGGAAAACAACTGAAACGCGCCCAATGCTCTACCAACTGAGCTATTGAAGCACATTGCGAACACAATTCTCTCTTGCTCCGTGCTCTCTGTTGCTGAAGTGGGCGATGCCTGCCTTTTGTGAGTTCTCAAGTAATGCGGCATGACGCAGTTAAAGCATGGGTAGAGATTGCGGGCCAGCATGCAGTCTTGAAGGTCATGGTAAAAGCTTTAGGGTTAAACCTTCTTCGATAGTAGTGAAAGGCCCTGATCGAATGAGCATCAGGAGAGTTGCTGACGCAGTTATGTTCTTTGCCTATCACTTCGTATTAGGGTGGGACGGCTCAGTTGTTGAAGTCGTGCAGCTTGCACATGTGCCATTGATGTTGCACCACCGACTACAGTGAGTGTGATAGCGCCAGCCTATTCAAAATGAAACTGCCGCAGTGAGCACTGCAGCAGGGAAACAATGTTGGCGGGCCAAATGGTCGTACCTTGGTGAAGCGAAACTAAGGTGGGCATTCGCGGCTCAAGCTCCAAACCTCTGCCTCTCGTGTTGGTGCATGCGCAGTATAAGCAAGTGCATTGGCGTAGGTTTCAGGAGGGCACACTGGGCTGTTTCTTTCCATAACTGGCGATCTTTGAACAGGTGCATATCGAGTAGCATGAGTTTAGTGTCGGCTTGTTGATATCATCTGTGAGCGCAATAATGATACGCTGCATGCAGGTATACAATAGTAATCTTTAGTTACCACAACAGTTAAATCATGGTCGTGGGTAGTAGCCGTCACAATAAAGATGTGTCACTAGAAGTCGACATGGCTTTTTCTATGCTAAGCGGTTCTATAGCTGCGAAACGCCAGTAGAACTTTTTCAAGGTCTCATATATCTATACACAGTAAGCTCATTACTATTATGAAGACTTGTTTCACTTTGGTGTTATACCGATTCCTATGAAGGAGGGATCAGCAATGTTTTTTTTTTTCAGATACGTTCGCTTTTACCGCAGCAAGAATAAGAAAGAGTGAGATACAATGACTTGAGAAAGAAGCATGCTTGGGTATCTAAACAGTCTGCTTGCACTTACTGCAAAGCAAAATTTCTTGCAGTCGATAACAAGCGGTACAACGGCCTACGAGCAGAATAGCACAATAGTTTGAAAGCTCACATTCCCCAATCAAAGAAGACCCCTGGACAAAAAACACCCGTGAAACGATTACTGTGGCAGCCTTACTTAAGTGCAGCGATTCTTTTGTTCAGCTTTCTGCACACTCCATGTCGGAGAGAGAGGGCATGTGGGTGCCACTTGGCATACATAGCAGCCTTCAGACCCAGGAATGATTATCTACGGATTATCTGAGCTAGTTTAGCTTCTACGAGATGAATTCCACAAAGACATATCGCATGCTAGATACGTGCCCCACCACCGCACAAAAGCGAGTGCCGTCCTACTGACCATACATAATGCGCCGAAGTCACCACAAGATCCCACTGACAGACATTCTGCCGAGACCCAGCTTCCTATTTCTGTTAATAGACCAAAAATTGTTGCACTCTACAATTCAACCAAAAGCCAGAGAAGCCGAAAGGTAAACGTATAGTTCTCGTTCTCCTGTACAAAACTAAAGACATTCGAAAACATTCACTAAATTTTCGATTTTCATTATTGACCATACGCTGTGTCGATGACCGCTTTTCATTAGACATTTTGGAACAAATGTGAATAGACCTTGTGAGCAGTGCGTATAACTTTCTCTCGTTTTATCGGAAGTGCATGTTGCTTGGTCAAATTGTTGTACATAGCTACTGAGTAGCTAAAGTTAAAAAGTACACACTTTCTCGAACGACCGCAGCGTCTGTCGCTGGTATGACAAGGTTGTTTTGATGTTTTTCATCCACGAGGAAGGTCAAGACGCACAGCTGAAATGATTTCGAAGAAATAAAAGATAACCCGCGTCATTCATTTGCGGGCAAAAAGAGAGGTGGAAGGGCGGCTGATACAAAACCACGACTCAACCCAGTTCTACTAGCTCTTCCTCATGTCTACCTAATGCATTTCTATCGCGTAATCTCTATCGCGATAAGCGTTCATCACGCGTGTCGAGCAATCCGTATTCTGGGCAATCAGCGGAACGCGCTGACTAACGTATTCTGCTGACTGACCGCCGTCTATGCGACGTTACCAAAACTGTGCTTCCGCTACAGAAATGCACAATAATATCGGCATATTGCTGATTCTGAGTTCTCATTGATAATATAGTTACTTCAGCCACCGACCGTGTTTGAGCGAATCATCAATGTGATGAAGTACCGCACCCATAAGTAAGTCTTCTTTGATCTGTTTTCGTATTTTTGCGGCACTAGTTGAAGCGCGTCATCTGTATTTTATTTAGAAGCCAACTAAGCAGTTCCATGGAGCGGGCTAAACAGTTCATGCTTCGCCGTCGTGAATTACCATCACATGTGTAAGCTGATCGAGTCCTCTGACATATAGTCGAGTACCTCCCAACAAGGCCTGCTGTAGTGGGCGTAACTGAAAAACGTCTGACTTCATACACAGAACCTGAAGCTCTCCCAAAAGGTAACCACATCTGTGAACCTTACGCAGAGGTGGGCGAAAAATGAATTGGCGCGGTTATTGTTTTACCCTTGTAGTGCATGGTGTGTCTGAAGTGTTCTTGCCACTTTTTATTGTTACCTCGCATTATAAAGGACGGCGCTGACAACTACTTCTATCACTTCGCAGGTTCCTTTCCTGAATGGCGATAAGTATCCAAAACTGAAGGCATTACTACAACCGCCTGAAGGCAGAATTGCCGTACTTCGAAGAGGTGAACCGGCCAGGAATCACCGGCTTGAGTACGCTTACCGCCGATCTGAAATAGATGCCGGGGACAGAAATATTGGTGCATTTTTTTTGAATAAAAACATTCTCTCTACTTTCAAAATCAATTTTTACTTTCTTTCAAGGATAAGGGGGACTTTTTTCTATTTGTTGCCATTTCTGGGCGGCTGTGTTGTTGTAACTGAACAGGCAGTAGGCGAAAAAAATATTTCTTGACGATAGCTTGTTCTCAAAAACGACTCTGCGCTCTATACAACAGAGGCTCACGGAAACAATTCGGGAAAATCACAGTATTTCACTGCAAATCGTATAGCTTCCCAGAACCATTAAACACCGCCAATTAGAAACACATGTGGCCCCTTTGCAAAATGTTGCGAGACTCTGGGAAGTCACGCAGTTTGAAGAAGACTTATTTGAACAGAATACTCAATTAGGTCTCATAAGTATTGAAGCAGGACGTCGTTCTTGATGACTAGGTATTTTCGTTCAATATGATTTTTTTCGGCTGTTACCTTTTCAGTTACAGCAGGCCACCGTTGTCGCCGATGAGAGATGGCTATTATTGAACGTGTCTCCAAGTCCTTGTCATGAGCTAGCTCGATGCAGGCACAATTCTGACCCACGTGCGTTTCCCGTATGTTCAAATAAATTTTGTTTGCTGTTATTAGTGACATTAGTGATAAAGGTATAGTGATTATGACGCTGTTCTGCAAATATGCTATAATAGACAGTTATGGTTTACTGGGCTTGGCATAGGGTAGCGGGCTACCGACCGAGATAGCGGGATTGAAGTGCGCATGCGAAGTAGCTTACGTGACCCGTTCCGCTACCCGTACGCACGCTATTTATCGAATTTAACGATACAGTGTTTGCGCAGTGTAGTGTACGTGAACATGGCGGCACTTTCGGACGCCCGCTTTGAAGTGCATGCGGCGTAGTTATTTAAAGATTCACTCCGTACGCAGCTAATGACTGTTTAAAATGGCTTCGCTTGCCTTTAGTAAACTTCGAAGACCAAGTATTTCAGATAAGTTCACGCAATTTCTGAGATAGCTTCCTATTTCCAACGTCTCCAGGCCCAACTAGACAATTGTTGTAAACTAATCAGCACCATAAATGTTTTTGCATTTTATGCGTAGTTCCCAAGTATATACATTTATTATTAATAAAGTAAACTTTAACATTGCTTCGCATGGTGACACAGGCAAATATTCTGGTTTTCTTTTCGTTTCACTCTTGTTTAACTTATTAAACCTTATCAGCTGTGGCACGTAAACCACTTGAACGCTTTCTCGCTAAATTGTTAGACGCTGTCCGCAACGAACGTTTGCTGCATGGTAAAGCTATTTCTTAACTTCCGCTACCACCCTTAAGGTAAACTATACCTGTTCATTTGGTATTAAAACATTCGTAGGGGTTCGCAGGTTGTGTGAAGGCTGCTTGGTCGATGCCGACAACTCCGAACTGCTGGAGTTATTGAGATATCAGCTTTGTTGGTGGGCAAGTTCCTAAAACGATTCCCTCTCAGTGTTGAAGCAAAAGTGAGAGTGAGAAAGACTTTATTTGGTGATGCAGCGGATGACGATTCTCGCCCCACGATGGGAGGGTCATGGTGATGCGGCCACACATCACCTCGGCTTGACGTCCTGTACTCGGCGAGCAGTCCTCGCTACTCCCGCCTTCTGGCTCTGCGCCTGCCCCTGTGTTGGGGTGGTAGCGAGCACTTGGCGCTTTCGCTCGGGCGCTGCTTTTCGAGGGCAGCCGAGATCCTCTGGATGACCCGTATCTGCTCTTTCCACTGGTCGCTTCCCGCAGCGGCCGTAAGCCACGGCGGCATCGTCGTCACTGTTCTTGCTTCCCTCGGATTTTGTTCACAATCCTACAAGATGTGGCCGCAGTAGTTCTTTTAGTTCCACACACGCGACACAAGTCACTTGCGTATACGTTCGAACAAACGTGCTTTATGAACGCCGGCGTGGGTAGCGACCCCATCTGCAGTAGCCGGAACGCTACCGTCTCACTGCGGGTCAGGCCCGGTGATTGATTGATTGATATATGGGGTTTAACGTCCCAAAACCAGGTCAGGCCCGGTGAATTGGGGGCATATAGTCCAGCGCCCTAGTCTATATCATTTCAATACTTCACTGTATTCTGTCATCCTGTCTTTGGCTTCACACTACCACTCCTAAATCGAGTCGGCCGGTTGAGTGGCGCCGTATGTGAAACCTCGCGCCGCCTCATTGGCAGTCTGGTTGTAGTTCGTGCAGCCGCGAGGTGACACCTCCTTACCATTGTGGGCCGGTAGCCACCTAATTGTCACCGTTCTCTCCGCTAGGTTCCTCGCGCGCAGCACCCGCGCTGCTGCCACACATTCTCTGCTTCTAGCGTAGTTCCGCACCGCAGTCTTCGAATCACTCGACACGGTCGTGCATCCGCGGTCGGCGAGAGTCAGGACGATGGTGGTCGGGAACGAGGTCTGTGCCCGCTCCACCTGTTGGTGCGGCGGCTGCTGTTGTCGCTGCTCGCATTGCCGCTCCTTCGCCAACCGCTGCGTCTGCGTAGGTCGACCGGGTAGATTCATCTTGAGAGCCATTTCTTCCTTGCTGGAGGCGTCCAGCGCAGCTATCACTTTCGTGATTTTTCTGTTGAGTACCTAGTTTGCTCTAGTAAGCATGACTACGGTCTCTTTAAGTAGCTCCATCTCCTCGTCCTCTTGTCGGCTTTCTTGTCCCCGCTGTTACCCCCACCGCTCGGCACTAGGCTCTGCTGCCACGACGGTTCCTTCTTCCCGATTCCTGTTTTGACGGCAACGGTTTATTTATTTATTTTTGAATACTGTAACCCGAACATAGGGTTTTGGCAGGGTGGATATACATTTGATAAATTTACAAATCGGCAAACAAATAAATAATTTTAAAAATAACAGTGGTTTGTAATAAACCGGCATAGAGAAATGAGCGCTACATTCAAGATGATCACAAGTGGAGAATAGTTACAGTGATTGAAATAAACAAAAGGAGCACATGTTATAGAATTTAGACCCCACTGCTAGAGCTGCGCAGCAAAAAGGTTCTAGGATGACTGGAAAACAACTTCGTTACTAAGGTTATTCAATTCGGTAATTGTCCTAGGGAAGAACGAACACTTGAATGTGTTATTACGGGTGGAAAATGGAGTTATTGTAGAGGCATGCCTCTGCCTTGTGGTATATCCTGTGGACAAATGAAGTATATGTGATAAGTCTAACTTATAATAACCTTTAACTAACTGAAAGAAAAATTTCAATCTCAATACTTTATCTCTTGGTGTAGGTGTTGGCAGGTTAGCTTTTGTTAATAAATATGTTATTGAAGTACGACCAAAACTGTTATAAATAAACCTAACAGCTCTTTTTTGAATTTTTTCTATTTCGCTGATAATTTCTCTGGTGTAAGGGTAACAAATTATGAATGCATAATCTAAAGTAGGTTGAACAATTGCATTAAATGCAACAAGGCGAACTGTGGGAGTCGAGTGCTCAAGAGCTCGTCTAAGATAAAATAATTTGTAATTGCACGAGCTTATTACAGTGTTAATATGTCTCGTCCAGTTAAGGTCATTCGAAATCCAAAGACCAAGGTACTTGTAGTGTTGTACCTCCTGCAAAAAACAACATTGGCTGAATATGCAAAATGAAGAGTGTTACGTTTGTGGGAAATTTTCATGAGAACGAGCTTTTTAAAATTAACTGACATCTGCCATTTATCGCACCAACGAATGACCTTTTGAAATGCATCATTTAAATGAATTTGATCAGTATGGTTTTCTTTTTCCGAGTACAGGATGCAAGCATCCGCATATAACTTAACTTTTACACGTATATCATGAGATATATCACAAATAAACAATAAAAAGAGGAGGGGTCCGAGCACAGAGCCTTGGGGAATACCCGAGTCAACCAGTACTGTACGAGAACAATGGTCATTGAAAAAGACGTACTGTTTTCGATTCGAAAGGTAACCGGAAATCCAGTTTAGAAGCTGAGTATTCTTAAGAATTAAATCCAATTTGAAGACTAATTTATTGTGAAAGACCATATTGAAAGCTTTAGCAAAATCCATAAAAATTGCATCTACCTGTTTTCCGGAATTTATAGATAGTGCGAAATCATAAACTGTAGTTACCAGCTGAGTACAAGTAGAAAATCCTTTCCTGAATCCGTGTTGTGAACCTGACAAAATATTGTGCTTATCTAGGAATTTGGAAATATGCCTATGTATTATGTGCTCAAGTAGTTTACAGGAAGTTGAAATTAATGAGATCGGCTGATAGTTAATAACAGAATGGGGATTTCCACTCTTATGTAGGGGCTTGACTTTAGCAGTTATCCAGTCATCCGGAACTTGACCATCTTTTAGAGATTTAGAAAAAAGAAGTGTTGGGTACTTTGAAACCCATTGTGTATAGCGTTTTAAGAACTCATTCGGTACTCCATCAGGACCTGAAGATTTTTTAACATCAAGCTTCAAAAGTAAATTAGAAACTTCCTCTTCACTTGTGACATTATCCGATAGGGGTGGGCCTGTCACATCAAATGTTTTCAGGACTCCATTATCCTTCGTAAAAAAACAGACTTAAAATAATCAATGAAAGCATTAGAAATAACAGAGGAATCACTAGTTTCCACACTGCCAATTTCAAAAACATCAGTAGACACAGGATTAGGCGAAATTAAACTCCAGAACCGCTCGGGAGACGAAGACATGAGACTCGGTAGTTGTTGACCATAATAGCGTTCCTTGTCAGACAATACATTTGCTTTTAGTTGAGAAGCCAGTTCAGAAATTCTTTGCAGGAGGATACCTACGTCTTTAGAGTACCGTCTCTGATGTTTTATACGTTTGAGCCGTCTTCGCAACTGCAACGTTTCCCGAGAAGTCCAGGGGTTCTTTCCTTTCGATTTTTTTTACAATGCGTGGAACAAATCTTTCAATACACACATTTATAAGGTCCTTGAAACGCTTCCACAAATAATGAATATCAGCAGTGCAACACAAAAAAGAATCAAATTCAAATGATAGTAAGTCCAATACTAAAGTATCATCTGCACGTGAAAAGTTTGGGAATAATACCCTCTTGCATTTTTTCTTTAAAACAACATCAGAAAGCGTAAGTACCACAGCCTGATGATCAGATATTCCCAGGAGAACAGAGCAGCTAGCTTGAGCAGAGATTGAGCCACTAATGAAAAA